CATGTAAACAATTCAGCAGCCAAACGATCTGCTGTGATAGATATGAATGCTGATGGGAAGCCAAAGGACAGCCATTTACCAGAGCAAGCATGTCACTGTTTTCTTTATTTTATTTCCAGCCCTGGCAAGTGTGAAAATTAACATTTATTTTTTTCCTTTACATCTGGGATTGTTATCTTCGTCTTTGTTGCACGCCCACACAACTAATTTTCTTGTTATGTTGCAGTGTAATTTTGTCAAAGTGGTCATTAGCCAAAAGAAGCAACTTCATATCCCTTTAAATAGATTAGTCAGCAATTTTTGCACCCAAAACAGTCCTTTGTGATTTTAAAATTGCTGACACTACACTGATATCAAGACGATGATAAATCCATAGCCTACTGGGCAACCTTCATCAGGTTGTTGTAAAGACTTCTTGCTGAAGTTCAAACCAAGCATCAAATTTAGATAAAAGGGATTTAAAGTCAAAGTGGCATCGTTGTTAGAACATGATAAGAGGTCTGAGATGTTCTTAAACTTTTGCTTTACCAAGGTATTCAGATAAACAACCATCTCAGAAAGCACAAAACCTTCAACCTTGAAGCAGATGAGCTAAGGCTGCAGATAACAGTCTCGCACTATTCCTGTCAACTAGGAAGATGATGATAAACAGTAAATTGCTTTTACTTATATAGAGCTCTTTCATGACAGGAGACTCTAAAACACTTTACACTACATGCAGTCATTTACCTATTCATGAACACATTAACACACTGATGATTCAGTTATAAAAATTATAATTAGCACAGGCTAAAAAAATAAAATAAAAAAAATAAAAACTCACCAGAAACAGATCTTAGTCCAGTAGAGTTACCTTGGGATTAAGTAAAATAGAAGATCAACATAATTGATGTGCTGTAAAAATTTGCAGCTACTATGTGATGAGACCAAAGTCTCTTGGGGACGCTCCTGACACCTTATGTTGAATTTCACTCAAAATTTAGACAGTTTGAAATCAAAAGGTGGTCTAGAGAAGCATTATCTCTTGGTCAGACCCTGTAATTCAGTGAAAGGGTGGAGTCAGAGTAAAAAAACGCCCATGAAAAGGCCAGTGGCTGGAAGTTGGAGGGGATTTTTTTGCCATTCGGCTGGCTTTTGACTGGGATGGTCCATTTTGAATGGCTGCTACTGTACCGGACATAATTTAATATCTCTTGTTTTGGCTCATTAGCAGGATACCATAGTCAGTATATCAATTTAAAATATCCTCCATCTTTGTAATGATCAGTGAAGTTTGAACAGACAGTTCGGATCACAATATGATGGTAAGGAGAGGTTTTCCGCATCAGAAACAGCAGAGCATATGTCCATTTTCTTCTGGACTACAGGGAGAGAGTTTCATGAGACATTTTAGTCCACCATCAGTAGAAAGACTGGTCAAGTATATGATTGCATGATTAAAACTGAATATTTTAAATCTAATTTGCAGCACAGAGACTCAATTGATTGTGACAAAATTCTTCAAAGTATTTATCCTAAATATATCAAATTACATGTTTTTTTTTTATTATCCATTTAAAGATGATAATATAAAAGGCACACAAAAATCCAAGATCTATGTGTTATTTCTTTGCACCAATATTTCCACAGTTACAATTTACCAACAGCAATGAAAACAAAGCAACCAAAGCACAAAAAGCATTAATGTACCCATGAATAAACATATAGCTAATATTTTTTTTGATGCAGTGTAAATTGCTTTCATTAATTGTTTTTTATTATCAATCATATTAGTTCCTTTTATTTCACAAATCAATTATGCATAATGCAACATATGATGTTTTGTTCCTCAACCACAGTTTGAACTCTGATATTGGCAAATTATAAGTGAAACAACATGCATGTTGAAATAATAAGCACTGGAGTACACCCATCTTTCCACATTGGTGCTTGAAGAATATGTGTTTGTTTTCACATTAGTTCTTAGTATTGTATCATGTTGACTACCATGTATCAATTGATTACAGTACCTGCTAAAGAGAATAATCGAACCTAGATGCTGTTTAAAGAAGCTGTTAAAAAGGGAGTTTTATATCCGTGTTTACCCTGGAATCAATCCATTCTATCACTGATGAGATTTAATAATACAAGATGGGTGGTGTTAACCTTGTAGATGATTTTTTTTCATGCTTTAACATCAACAAGCATAGACAATTCCCTCAGCTCCTTCCTCTCACTAAAGGTACAATCTGTTGTGACAGATAATGTGAGTGAATGTAAGGGGCTGTCAGCTCTGCCAGATCCTTTACACTCCTTGTGTAAAGAAATTTATAATTCATGATCACCATCTGCAAGTTGCAGTATTTGTCTCTCCTAAATCTACAGTGGGCACTCTACGGTTTTTGAACTCCACTTTAATAAAAGAAGGCACTTTATTTGATAAATCTATGTCAGCAGTTGTACAAACATTAGACATCAGTGCACACAAATATAGATAATGTAGAATGTTTCTTCTAATTACCAGCACAGAAACCCCTGCAAATCAAACAATGTCTTGGTCAGTTTAAACGATCTTTTTTTCCCTTTTCTTTTCGATGTGTTCTGTCTGTGGTTTCTAACCACTGATTGCCTGAGCTTGGCTATTTTCTATTTCTCATTTATAGTTTAGGAAATGGTTTGGCTAAGTCAGCTTCTAGCACTTCCCATTCACTAAGGCACTGTGATGCTGTAGCAATTGCATACTTTTCAAATAGTAATCAGAGCCTGCCTTTCCTGATTTTGCTGTAATTATTTTCCCTGCACATGCTTGAATTTGCCTTGTCAAATGTAATACAATGTTAGAGGAAACTTTGTGTATTCTGGTCTTCTATTGACTGTCAGTACTTTTAAGTCTTTAAAGGGCTGGTTATACTCCCACAGTAGTGTGTCACAGTGTCGAAGGTATGACGCAGATATTTTTGATTTATGCCCAGTTTTGGTGTGGTCTGTGCTACGTTATTCCATGCCACAAGGCAAGAGGGACAATCACGAACTAGCCGTGGGTCTAGATACGGCCAAGGCGGAGTGGAAGTGGCGGAGAGGAAGTGGGGCATATTTGCATTAAAATATATTATATATTTTAGTTATATTTTTTATATTTATATATTTTTAAAACAAAGTGGAGTGGGTATGACGTCATCCACGTGCTGGCTACCATTCATTCATCCCTCCGCTAAACTGCTGCTAGTTTTACTCACATGCCTGGAAGATGTCTAGTGCTATGACCACAGATGATCTCGCTCTCGAAATGGAATTGAACAATTCAGATTAGCTAGCCGAATGAATAGAAGGGGTAGATCGTAGCTGCCTCTGGCCCGGGCTCACTGTCACAACTCCAATCCAATCCTCAAGTCGTTTGCCCATAGGAAGACGTTACTTGGATATAACAAAAACCAATATCTTCAGAACAGCTCCAAATGACACAAAACTAATATGGGTGAGTAGAACATGATGTAATAACATAAAAATCAAGTGGCCAGTGTAAAAAAAAAATGGTGTTCCCCTTTAACTGCGACACACACGCAGACGACCTGGATTCTGAGCAGAAACCAGCCTTAAGTTTTTGCCCCTTGTAGATTACCATTTTTTCAACATTTTGATAACAAAACAAATACCAAACAGAGATATCTAGAGCAAATACAACAAGTGTTCAAATCAGCTATTTCACTTATTAAGCTAAAAAAGTTATACAAACTTACCTTCCTCTCATCTCTTTTAAAACGGGAAATTTTAACTGTGAATAACAAGAATTTTTGGTTCTGTTTCCACTGTATAGACAATCAAAGGCCTTATCACCCACAGATCAGCACACTTACACTCCGTGAATTAAGTAGTACAAATTTTGAGTTTAGTAATAGCTTAATTTGATGTGTGGTAAATTATTTTTCAGGTTAATATAGTAATATATTATATAGTAATATTAATATAGTCATTGGTGCCAGTTGCTTTCAGGAATGCTTAACCAAATTTACACATTGTAGCTATAAATAGAACCGGAATGACATAAATAAAGGGAGCAAAACCATTTGCATGGCTTTGGGACTTCAGAAAACTAAAGAGAGAGCAATTATTCCCAAATGAAATTCACAATTAAATCCCAGTGTGTTTGATTTACCATTAAAGAAAGAAAAATGACATCCATGTGAAATTTCTGAAGTGACAAAAAACCGCTGATGACTCCAGAGCTCTCTGGAAGAATTTTTGACAGAGCTTGACTTCAAAGGCAACGGTAAAAGTTTTTTCGAAAGGTGTGTTTAGTGTTGATTACTAATCCGATCTGAATATTTTTTCCCTTAAAAGTCAGGAATAAACTATTTCAGATAAAACTACAGATCAAATAGATCTTAACATCTTCGCAGCGCTTTCGCTGCTCGGGCCTAAAAATGGGGATCGCTCTACATGTACAGAAAGCTATTCCCAGTGTTATATCTCTTTCAATATATTGTTTCTGGCTTCACTCAGTGCATGGACCAACGCAGCTGTCAGGAACCGGGGTGGATGTTTTAGCTAAATCGCCCCCTCAACAGAATGAAAAGCAAAGTCTCTTTCTTCTGGATGACAGGACTGACATACAGAACAAGACTTCTCCAAACAATTATGTGGGAACAGCTCATCAGGCAGTCTCACAAGACGACATATTCTTGTTGAAGTCCGGGGATCTGACAATTTACTGACATAATTCTATTTTTTTTAGCTAGAGGATTATTTTTGCAAATACAGGAGACTCTCTGTTTTCTGTTCATGCTATATACATTATACCAGTCACAGATGAACAGGACAATGTAAATTCATTTTACCAAGAGCCAATGAGAGAAGTATATTAAAAAACAAATAATGAGAGGTAGCTGGTAGATTCTGTATCTGAGTTTTATCTGGTTATGCTGAGCTGAATTTAGAGAATACCAGAAAATTGATAAACAGAAAAAAAATATACTGTATACCTGCTCAATTAGTTCATGACCTCTCTTTTTGTGTTTTGGCAGCAGACAGCCAGAGACTAACATCTAAAGGTCAAACTGTGGCTTTTACGCCCAAGGTAAGTCTACATGCTTTCTATCTACATTTATGTAAATGTACGTTCTGTGCCTGGAATTTCACTATGTAATGCAGTAAATTATCTTTACATAGAGTAGTTGCTGTACGTTTGATGGTAGTGCAGTCAGTTGGCAGTCATTGTTGACAGTGGCATTCTAGAAACTCTTTGTTGGAAGGGCCATGCAGAGGCACTTATTTTGGAGAGGCTGTATCAAAAAGGCTTTTTATTTCAAATCACAAACCTTGTCAGTGTTTTTTTTAAGAATTTAAGTATAGCATTTGTTTTTTTTTTTCCATTTACTGATAAGAATTAATTTAAGAAGAATTCTTAAATATAATAAAGACTGTTTGCACTTCTTTATTATTAAAAACTGATCAACATAACTTTTTTAATTCCATGCTACACCATCTGCCTCTAAGAAAAAAGACTGCATGAAGCCAGAGCAAAAATGTAGTAACAGCTGGAGTGTATCCGTGTATAATGTTCCATCCATTGATGAGAGTCACTTCTGTTGTGGGTCTAATAATAAAGTGCAGGTGAGAAATGGCTGTCATTAAAGGTTTCATTTGGATTACTTATACATCAGTTCTATGCTCATTAGCAGAGGTGTCAAAAGTATTTATTTTCTCTACTTAAGTAAAAGTACAGATTCTCCCAAAATGGTGAGAACATAAAAAATACTGACTCTATGTAGTTTTATACTAACTAAAATAAAATTTCAGACAAGATGACAAAGATTGAACTGAATATAAGTTCTGCATAAACAGTGAGATACTTTTATTGCATGTGGGTCTCTTTTTTTCAAAAACGGGGCTTGTGGTTTGTCACAAACAATTTTGCCGTGGAAATGTGTGGGTGCTCACGCCAACTCTGACCCATCCATATGGATATACAGATTTTAGAGAGAGGTGGAATTGGTGACATAGATAGTGACTAAGGGAACCTGATGTCACACTGAATCATATATTTTCTCAGACATTTAACTTCACTTGATAAGAAATGTTATTCATGGATCAAAGTTATCAGATCAGAAACTACAGTGTGATATATGCTAGAACTGAAAGCTGCTGTCACAAATAATAAAAAAAGAGCCAGCTTCAATTCAAAATCACTGTCTGCATATTTAAATATTTCCTCACATTACATTCCTTTTCATTGAGATAAATAAAGTGAATCATACCGCAGATACCGTAAATAAATTAATTTAAGGAAGCGTGAAGAATTTACACAAGTTGCTGTAAACATTAAAATTTGCTGAACTAACCACGCATAATGGTGCAAGATGGAGGATTTAACTATTGAAGACAATGGGGCAAGAAGGACAGGATGCTTTTTGGGGGATTTTCAATGTTTCTTGACCAAGGATGATGAGGGGTTATTAGCTGATCAGGCTCCATAGGGCATCTCTGTCGGGACTCAGGTCATCCCTGTTCATCACAGGTGTTAAGCAGGAAGAGGTGAGTGTGCATTAATCCAAAGGGTAGCTGGGTGCATGCTTCTAAAGAGAAAAACAAAACAGTCTGTGGCACATATATAATATGAAATATGTTCATAAATTATATGCTGCAGTGATTTTGTTAAAAAAGAATCAAAGAAAAATTAGGTTGTTTGCCAGATCAGCTGGCTTTTCGTCTTGTTTTCAGTGTTTAAGCACTCTGTGGTTCCTCTCAACTTTTATCAGCGCAAACTGGTGTTAAACATAATCAACAATTGATTGACTCTCTGCCTGAATCTGGTTGTAACAACAAAACAATTCTGTGAATTTATTCATAAATCCAAGATATCATAGTCAGTGATAAGGGCAATGTTGCCTGGATTTTCTTGTTAACATAATCAGTCCAAGTCAGACTGAAGACGTCATAAATAATACTACCTTATGTCAGGTTGTGGAGGTTTGTAGAGGACCCAAATACAGAGGTGGAAGCTGAGGTGGTTTCTTGCAGATTTAAGGAGTAGTTGTAACATAAGCATAAATCCAGAAATAATTAATTAAGGAACAAAAGAACCAGAGCAAAGGGGAACACATACAGTAGGTTAGGGAGAGAATGAAGAGAATCCAGCAACCAATAACTCCAGAGCAGGAGTACATATGTCAAACAGAACAAAGAATGGAGTGATCAACTGGTATGGAGCAGGCATGGACAGAAGGATCTAGAAGAAAGCTAGGGGAAAGGACACTGGCACAAGGGGCAACAGAGAGTAAACAAGAAATACATAAGAACTCAAATACAACCAGAAAACTAGAATGACACAAAATGGAAATGAAACCAATTACCTACAAAACACAAAATGACGTAAATCAGAGTGTAACTGAAACTTCAAAGAAAATTAAAACAAAACCAAAAAGCCCAGAAAGGGCAGAATCATGACACCTTTAATTTACTGTGCCTTCAAATGCTTTTCTCTGACTTTCCACCTCTCACAAAAACACCTTGATTAAATGGCTCTGTTGGCTGCGGTAACCATTGGTTACCATTGAATAAAAGTGGTCAACAGGCTCATTTACATACACAATGACATTCATGCTGTGCCTTGCATGAACTGTTTATGGTGTAACATGGGCCGGTGCAGGACAAAGCGTGCGGTGGGGCCTCGTACACAAAATAGCTTGTTTTCATGCGTGGGCATGGTTTCATAAATCAGATTTTTGCCGCACCCCATTTTCGCCTTTTGGCTGTGTTTAGTATTATTACCCTTATTGGATGTGAACCCTGTGTTTACATATCACAGCATTAAAGTTGAAAATAGCATTGACGATTAAATAGAACTTGAACCATAAAATCATCATGTAAATTTAAACTATGATAATTCCAATAGAACAGATTCTCTTTGTGGTCTTGATTTTCTCCCTGTTCTGTGGCAGCTGTTAGATCACATCATCAATATGCATAGAAGTAAAAGGTATGTTTGGAGAAAGTTAGAAGTAGAAAGAACAGATGTTTGTATTCAAATCAATCAGGTAATCAATCAATCAATCAGTCAACTTTATTGTCAACTTCAATTTACATTGCAATCGAGATTTCAGGGGGGGATTCCAGCAGGCTGGGCAGGAATTTTCCATCAGCCTTGAGTCTTTTGTTGCTGGCTCTTCGTGTTGAATCCAATATTCCAAATTTGTTGGGCTTTTCCACCTTGAAGCCAGTGTCCACATCCAAGATATTATACTATCTCACCTTTGTGTTCAACCACCGCAGCCGGCCTGTGTTCAATCGCACCCAGTATATAGCTGATCTCCCGATCTTGCTCGTTTACAGCCTTTGTGAGGGCGTCAGCCGCTGCTGACAGCCTGATCAATGCCCAAATTGTCACATCTCACTGGATTTTTTGTTTCATGTTTCTGTTTGGTAAAGCAATCTGGTTGCTTTGTGCATGTTGTGTTATGTATAGATAAATTTGCCTTGCCTATGGTTACTTCCCAAGCTAGATGAAGGTAATGTTACAGTATATGGAACTCTATGTCACCAAGCATTTGGATGCCAAATAACAGAGTTCACCTTCTGGCATTTTTTGGAAACCATGACTAATCTGGTCAGGCTTCTTTTGAAAACAAGAGGGGGACTAAATTTACCTTGCAAGTGAGATTAATTGTTGCAAGATATGTGAATCGACAAATTCTTGAAAAAATACATCTTGCCAGGAGCCAGCATACGGTAATCGTTAGTCTCAATACAGAAATGTTTCAGACAAATGAAATCCAGTGAGACGCTGACGTCAACGCATCGTACACGGAAGGCTGAAGCAACGAAAAGATGGCCGCAGCAGTTTTAGCTGGCATATCCTCTAACTGTTTTTGAAAATCAAGCAATAGGACGCAATTTATTGCCTTGTGGGTGGGAAGACTTTTGCACATTCCAGATTTGATAAAAGTTTATTAGTTTATTAGAAATTTTTAGTTAAATCTTCTAGTTGTTAAATAAATCAAGCTGCTACTGCTTTGATTGGCTAGAAATTCAACATGCTAAGCATATACCAATCAGCTCGAAGAATGGTACTGAATGTCCCTCCCTTTAGAGAACATTATTTTTTTTATATATGAGGCTTTCTAGATTAATATGTGTAGTTAAATTTAATTTCTCTAGAACAACAATCTGGCTTATACCAGGTAATGACCAAAACACTATCAGGCAGTTGATTATCATGTTAATCCTGATCATTGAATAAAAATTACACTCTTGACTAGCTTTCAGATTAATGTAAGATTCATGACTATATACTTATAATGCTGTACCCTTTTCTTTTTTGACCTTTTGAACTACGGATTTATTCATGCCATTTTATTTTGAGTAAGCAATTTTCTGTTTATACTACTGAAGGGTTTTTCCCTGTGATTCTTGCTTATAACCTTGTTTCTCCCTCTGGTTATCTTGGCCTTATCATTGAACTATTGAGTCAGGCCTTTTATAAAGTGTCTAGGAAAAGTAAAACAAAACAAAAAAAATTACAAATTCTACTGACCTCTCCAATTTAACTATGCTTTTTCATTGTTGTACACTAGTTACTGTTTAGTGTCCAATTGAACGCTTTACTGAATGGCTTTATTTCAAGTCTTTGGCTCATGCTTCTTTTTGCTTTTTTTTGCTTTCTTCTTATCGCTAAACGTGGGTCCATTTGTTTTCAGTCTGTGTCCCTGTATACCCTCTATAGCCACACTGGCAGTGAAGCACTCATTTAAAGAGCAGTTAAATTCACGGTGTGCTATATATCTTACTGATTTAAAACACCATGGGTCTTTTCTGCATTAGGTTAACTCTATAGCTGACTCTGAGGTAATATATTAACTTTCAACTTTTGGTGCAATGCTGGTAATTTAATTATGGGTCCTTTCATCAGTATTTAAGTTTTTATCAAAAAATTTTTTCATGCAGCATTAGTGATGTGATACTTCTCTGTTCTTTCTTTTAAAATTAATTTGAAATGTTTAGATCTGTGTTTAATAGCACAGATGGCCTGGGGCAGAGAGGCCCTTTGTGTTGTGAGGAATTATCAAATGTAACGAAGCT